TTTTTTTATACTATTATTTAGCATTTTTATATCCTATATTTGGCAAAATACCTAAATTTGCTGAAATGTATAAAATATTCAGGTAGCAGGTTTCTGACCATCACTGTCACCAGTTAAAATGACACACGCTGTTTGCAGCAGATTATATCAGCTGGAATTAATTAACTTTAATTCCATTATGTTATTTCAGTGGTTAGAAACATATTTAATTATTTTGAGTTAGACTGAGATAATTGTATTGTCTAAATATGAACTTAAAACTTTCCTAAGTTTGATCATTAAGAAGAATCTCTTCCCAGGTGCTGATAAAAGCAGGAACAGACTAAGCTGATTAATGCGTTGTTCACACAGTTGCACTAGTATTTTATAAATGTGTTAATTCAACACTCCTGGGTTCAGTAATACACTTTAGATTTTGTCATAAAAGTTCCACTATATGTTCAAACCTAAAGGGTTTTAAGAGAATAGTAAAACATGTTTCTAAGCATAAACACTTAACGTTCAGTTGAAATAACAGCTGAGTCCTCTGATGATAGCAGCATTATGTAGAAAGGTCAGAGAGGAATACATAACGAATAGACTTGAATAATGGACTTCATGTGAAGAGTAAGCACATCTTGGGAGCGGTGCGGTGCTATAGATGAAGCAGAGAATAAGAGGGATGTTGCAGGTGATTTGTAGTTGAACTTGCTGATCCATCTCATAAATAACATGATACTCAGAGGTTAGATCTAACACCCAGGTTGCTCATTGTCTGGCAGCCACAATGGGTCTGCTACTCAGTGTTCATATGGTAAGATTTTCTGACAACAAGAAAATGTAGCACCTGGTCAAGTTATCAGAGTCAGTCTAACTTTTTTATTTTTTATCAAAGATTGCCCATGCAGGTTGTTTTGCATCTAAGGTGTGATGTGCTAGCTGGTGTTTATTCAGTTTCTTTGGATGCACTGTTTGAAGTTAGGACCATGTCTTGACGTCTGTAAGCCATTGTCCACAGCTCGGATGGTTGTTGTGTGTGTCCATATGTACATGTGCTTGTGATTTTCCATGCTGTATCTGGCAGTGATATTGCATGGCTCATGGATGTGGTTACTTCTCTGCTGTCCTGCTGCTACCGTTTACTGAAATGGTTCTGGCCTTCAGTTTCTTTATGGTTGTTTTATTGAATGAATGTATATTTTTATTGATTCTTACAGTGCACATAAAGGGAATGCGACGCTCTGACAGACTGTTGCTGTCCCTGGACAACATGTTAATAGATAGGTATCGATTCTCCTAACAAGCTGCCCCTTTTTCAAATGAATACTTCCAACAAGGCAATGAGCCATGTCACAACGCCCAGAATCTTACAATGACTTTAGCTCCAGAACTCGCCCTCAGGATGTTACAGATAATGCAACAATATACTAGAAATTACATTTTCCTGAAACAACTGAGAAACTGTCTGTACATAACTATATTTTGATATACATTCTTATAAACAACGTCGCAAAATCTTTGAATATTAGCCGGTGAGCTAACTGTGATGTGGTTTTGCTTTACTTACTATTTCAACGTGTTTACATTGGATTTTAGATGGCTCACAGCGTGGCTGTTGGGATCTCACAATTCTTGTGTTTTGCTTATTGAGGTTTCTTTGTACTGGATGTCACCAGCCACATATGGCTGATAAACTGTTTAACAGATCTTTCTCAGTTTTGATGCTTCATTAATGCATCTTGCTCATCCATGGAAGCATCACTGGAGATAAAGCAGGAAGGCTGGCATCCAGATGGCTGGAAAACTGGCCTCCGCTGCCCAGCATGCTCTAGTAAAACGTCTGGTCCCTGGACAGTAAGCTCTTCAATATCAGGCTGTGGAAGAGAAACAAAGAAGTGCTGCATAATCTGTCCCCCATAGACCAGGATGGACCTTGCTTTAAAGCCCACATTAGAAAAGTGGAAAAGCAGACTTTTGTTTTGTCACGGTCTGTAATCTTTAAAGTTGTAGTTTTCCAGAAACTAGCATGTACATACAAAAACAGCACAAAAGATGTTAGAGCTAGAGGAAGTTAATAAGTGAAGGGCAACACAGCAGGTCTCTCACAGAGACCACAGAGGTGGAGGTTTTCCCACACCTGATCCAAAACAAACCCTTGGAAAACCCGCCTAAACCTGACATGCATAAATTAATGTTAAAAAGAAGAGAACCAGTTTGAAAGAAACCCAAAGACAGTCCAAGTTGGACCTGAAGTTAATTAGACCCAATCCGGTGGTGGAGCTAAAAAGAAATAGAACACAAACACATGTGCTCCACCGGCTAACAAGCAGTCATAGTTAAAAAGAGAAGCAAAACATGTCACATCTCAAAAAGATCTTCAACATCCCTGGCAATGAAATTACCGTGAACACCATAGTTGTTTCTGCCCTGTCTGAGTAATTAACGTTTTCCTTCTGTACTCAAACAGTATCCCACTTTTCCTTTCAAATGTCCCCCCTCTGGACGCTGATTCCCCTTCATGTGGGTTAACATGCTGTGATTCTCATCAGTTAAGCCTGTTGCTGTTGGACCGAAGCGCTGCTGTGACTTCAGCCATATTCTGTCATCAGTTTGCTCAAGCAGCTACTGTGAAATGGAAATCACTCTTAATTTGGACTGCATTAGCATATTGAATACCTTTGCCAGGCCTCATCTGTGCACCCACAGTAGTTTTTAGCCATAGTTACTCTCAGGAAATTACTTTTAGATTAATGAAGTTTGTTGGAGAGCAGCTGAGTTCAGCAACCTCAAACCTCGCGGATGGTGAAGGGAGATTCGCAGGCTGTAGTAGGCTGGCTAGAAATTGGCATGCTCAGTGTTTTTGTATTTCCTCTGCTCTTCTTGTCCCTCTTCTTCTTCCAAGTTCCTCATAAATGGTAAATGTCAGACCCCCTTCAGCCAAAAGGTCGAGGTTTCTAAATCTCACCTATTGCTCAGGCAAGAAAAACTAAACCACTTTGCCAGAAACTTTGAGTTTATGATCTAACACACTTTGTTTCCTGCTCTCCCTCTCAGCAAGTGCTCATTGTCACCTTGCTTTATTTACAGTGGGGAAACTTTTGACAGGGGGCAGCGGTGTACTAGCCTCTCAGTCTGCTGTTAGACGTTGTTGCAGCTGCCTCTTCCCCCGGCCGCGAAGTGTCGAATGGGCGTCTTTGAGAAGACGGGGTCGCGGCAAGAGGGACCGGGGTCCTGGCGAGGAGAGCACTATGCAGGCTGTGGCTTCACAGGGCAAGCAGTTGCTGGTTGTGGGTTTGCTGGTGGGGCTTAGCGGAATGAAGTAGTTTATTTTATGCAACTCGCAAATATATTATTATAAAAATTATGTACACTGGGTGGGTGTTGAATAATAAGTCACTCTGCGATCTGGTGGTGCGCAGCAGATACCTCTTATCTCTTCCCAGAAGGGTGGGTACTATCCTTTAGGATCCATTGGGCTCTGCGTAGGCACCTCACCGCTGTCACTGATGCTTGGGGGATGGGTACCAATGATCTTCTGAGCAGTTTTAATCACCCGCTGCAGAGAACATCATATTAGCTGTGTTGCACGACCTACAAGCAGTTTATACATTATCAAGCTTCCAGCACCTTAGCAAGGTATTTTATTTGTCATTATAAAACACAAAGCTGTACAACAAAATTAAAGTTTGTTGTCCCTTCAGGCTACACACATAGTACTTATAAAACAATATATACAGTTATTTATTTTATGCATACACATAAAGTACACCCAAGAAATAATTCTGTTGTGCCTTTTTGTAAACATCAGCAACAAGATAGTGATGATAATATGGTTTCATCTTCCCATTAAAAAAAATGTCCTTTTTTACTGCGTTCAAGCATCATCGATGGAACAGTCTGATTCCTGTTGCTTGACTCCCATTTCGTCCAGACCTCAGTCAGGACCAGCCTTAAGTCCAAGCTGGGCTCCTATACCGGCTCTCTTTCCTCTTTTCTGGGGCGATCGCAGCACCAAAAATGAAGTGGATTTTGAAGAACCTACCGGCCGCATCATCTGCAAGCGCAGCTGTTGCCATCGTCAGAATCTCCCGATTCAGTCGAATTGAACAATTTTGGCTTAGCCCTTTAACCAACAGACATCATTCAAAGATGTTTCAGCAATAAAAAATAGGAAAAAAGATTAAAACAAAAAGTGTAGCAAAGTTTGAAGGAGCTTCCAGCCTCTGCATCTACATACGCTATTTGTGAGTTTTGCAATGCTGCTTTGTGATGTGCAACCTAGCACAGTATTAAAACTTCCTTCCTGAAGTTAGCACTGACACTTCCATTTTGTGTAATTCAGGCAGTTAGAAGTGTTTTGTGAATACAACTCCTGACATATTAATATCTGTATAGCTAAATGCATCTTGTGCACAGTGCGTGAATAAGGCAGTTGTGAAGGTGTTTGAAAAGGTGCCACTTGCCGTGGTGTTACACTCAGGTTTGGATTTATCACTTTATGGAACAGGGTTGTTCCCAGGGATTTTAGAATTTGTTGTGTGTGGGATCAAACCGGAGACCCAAACCCAGGCCGTGCCTGTGTCTTTAAAGACCTGACAATTGACCACAACGGGTTCTGCCCAACTGTTATTGCAATCTCAGCAGTGCTAACCTTTGAGGGATCTGTGCTCTAAATGGAGGAAGCTGTCAGATTCGCTGTGTCTTAGTCTCAGAGGTCTCAGGTCTGGTCTCATCTGTGAGCTGTACCTACAGCTGTATCTCTTTGGCATTTTATATCTAATTGCAACACGATGTTCATGGACTCGATGATTGTCACAGTCAGAAAGAGTCAGAGCAATATTTACTGATAAATAACTGAAAAAAACAAACCCAACCCAAGCCTGAAGCTTTACACAACATAATGACCTGGGCAGAACTCTATGGTAAACATGGAGCAACTCAAAAAGTGGCAGAACACAGTTTAAACCCTGCTGGATGACTGAGGCTGAGGCATAAAAATCGTGATCTTTCATTTTATTCTTTCTTCTGTTTCTTCTCCTCAGGCAATGCTAGACTTCGCTGCCAATGAAGGTTGGCTAGTTACAGCCATCAGTATATGCAACCTGGTGCAGATGATCGTCCAGGGCCGCTGGCTGCACGACTCCTCATTACTGACGCTGCCACATGTAGAACATCAAGACCTCCATCTGTTCAGGTAAACGACACCACTTCACCACAGCTATACTGTCCGAACAGTCATTTGCGGCTAGCTCTAGGAGCTGGATAGTCTACCGTGTTGTTCCACCAGCTGTGCTTAGAATCAAATTACATCTCACCTTGTATTGATGTCTTCTTCTTCATCCCATGTCATCTACAGTATTCTAGGGCCCCTATTAAAGGATCTATAGCACATGATTTAAAGTGCATGGCAAAAGTGCATTCAGGGCGTGTCCAGCTCCACTTTCACAAGTTAAACGGCGTATAATCTAACATCAAAGAAGTCTCTTAAGTCTCTTGGTCTTTAATTAATCCTAGGTGTGTTATCTAAGAATTTCTTTGGGCAATGTTTTGCCTTTATTTGAGAGGACAGTGGATAGCGAGAGGAAATGAGGGAGAGAAATGGGACAACATGCAGCAAAGGGCTTTAGGCTGGATTCGAACCACTCTGCTGCAGTAAGGACTCAGCCTTGTACATGCGGCACATATGCACACACATGCAGTCAGACACATATAAATATTACTGGAGTAGTGTTTCCACGCAGGCACCATATGAATTTCCAGGGCTGCATCCAACAGTGTCGAATAATTTTGTACAAAATCAATAAAAATGATTTCCCTGTGGTGAAAGACAGCAGGAAGTGTGGGGTGGGACTTGTTGTGATGCTGCCTCATGGCCGAGCATCTCTCACTTCACTCTCTTCCAATCATTCCACAGGAAATGGACAAACAGGAAGGGAAGAAGCAGTGTGGGAGGTTTCAACGGGCCAATCGAAGGACTTCCTGAGCTGATTGCTGTTTGCAATGGAAAGGAAAGCGTTTTCGCTGCTATCGTCAGCCAGGAGTTTCAATCAAGTCACATTGCCCAGGTAAGAAAACATTATTATATTTTCACACCAACAGCACAAAGTCAGTAAAGTATTCAAACGCTGGAGAATGTTGTTTTTACTACAGAGACAACGGAAAAAATAGATTTCAAGTACTTGAATACTGTACTTGCTTTCCAAAAGTATCTTCAGAATGGGCCTATTCCCACATTTAATGCATGCAGTTTACATACTATCTCACACACACACACACATTATCAGTGACGTGCCATTGGCAGTCTTGCCACTGTGGTCCCAGGTACCTCCAGGATCCCCAATTACAGCTCCATTGATAGGGTTTACAGCTCCAATTTAAGTGCTAATTGCAGCAGTAATGAGAGTGTCCGGGCACGACGGCAGGCCCTGTGTCTTCACCCAATCAGTGTCCCCGATTTCCTCCTTCCCCACCTTTACACCCCCCACCGCCCTTACCCCCTCCCACAGTGTGGCGGCCTCTCTAATTAAATAATTAGATGTGCAGCAGCGTTTCTGTCTGACTGGCTCAGGGAGAGTAATCCTCACATAAATAGCTTTTGCCGGGTGAATCAGAGAGGCTTTTCTCCTCCTAGCTCTCAATACGCTGCCATGCGCACACACACACACACACACACACACACACACACAATCACACACACACCTTCCACCAGTTTTCTTTCACTCTCTGTGCTTTTTTTTCTCAGAATTCTGCACTTCCTTTCTGAGCACCACTTTTAAATGAATAAGAAAAAACGAGATGAACAGAAAAGGATGGAAAACATACTTTATAAAGAATAACAATGTATAGTTAATTTGAGCCATATGATTAAGAATTAGTTGCATAATTGCAGATCCGGTGAACTGGTTTGGTTTGGGTCAAAGTAGCTTTAGGCTGATAGATGAGGCCATTGTGAAGTCGTGGCTGACAGACATCACAGTGTAGAGCCAGCATCGTGATTCCACCATTATTTGGTAACCTTGGTAACTCATATGCCTGTGAGCACGTGATTGGGGGAATTTTCTCTGATATGTTTGACAATGACACGGAGTTAGCTGTCCGGTTGGCGTCTCGGCTGCGGTCTGTGGATCTGTTGGTTCTCTGTGACTGAGAAGCTAAATAAACACACGTGGTTCAGTAAAGTGCAGTATGACTTACTGTCAGTCACCAGAATTAGATTTTTCCCATGTGGGTTCATGACGACACATGATGAAGTCACTAAAACTGTCTAATACATACAGTAAGTTACCTGTGAGTCAGTGTGACTTCACGTTTACACCTCCTGGTTGGTTTGTGATAATGAGGTAGTGTGAACACAAAATGGACCAGAACTGAACAACTAAAAAGAAGCAGATTTTTATGAGAAATACAAAAATCATAGCTCCAATACTTGAGTCTTGTGTCTGGAGTGAACATTTGAGAACGTCTTCAGAAGTTCCTAAGAACCACGATCGACCAAGTTAAGGGTGCAAATTTTATACGGCCTAATTGACACGGGTAGGGTCCCATTCTGTTGCCACAGGTCTAGTGTTGGTACACTCTTAGAAGAACAGGTGCTAACTAGAACCATAAAGTGTTCTTCGGCTTGTCCCCATAGGAGGACCCTTTGTTGTTCGTGGTAGAACCAGGGATTCATCTGAATTATAGGACCCGTGGAATCAGCGCCACGACAGATAGGACATAAGTCCGGCACACCAGGCTGTCCTCAGCAGGTGAACTCATTTCATAGCAGAGAGGGAAGAGAAAGAAGACAGTTAGTAGCATCATTTTAAAGTCCACTTACTACACCGGATGATTCATAAGCCGTCTACAAACTTCAAGTAATGCAGGGTCCAATGAAAGCAGTAGGAGTATGCACACATAATAATGGTGACAGTGGATAAGATTGAATAAGCCTGTGCTCCAGCTCCTATATTAAGAGCCTCCACCGGCACACAGACAGGTGAAAGTGATTTTCACATTCATTTATTTAAATAACGCTGGAATACTTTTCAGCAAAAGGAATTTCAGTTGTGAAACGGGTACAAATAATGTTGTCCTCCAAAAGGATATTGAGCTGTAGCTGTCTTTTCCTCCAGACAGAGCTTTTTAGCAGATCTTGGTCACTAAAATTATGAAAAGCTTCCTTGATTTGAGACGTGAGTAAGCCTTGTCCTAGACTAAAAGAAAAGTTGAATAGCCCTCTATGATCAAGTGATTGGTTAGATGTGGAACAGCATATAATAGATACAGTCTCCCTCCTCCTAATCCGTCTCCCTCTTGTCACCGTCTTCTTTGTCCCTCGTCAGGCATGGTCCTTCCTGAGTCATCTCCCCGTGCTGGAGGTTGAGATGAGTGTGAAGGGCTGGTGGGAGGACAGCCAGGAGCAGACGGAGCGTCCCCTGCCTGTAGCAGGACCTAACCTGAGGGAGGAGAGCAGCTGGCTGGATGTCCACGCTGACCAGGAGTACGTCCTACAGGTGTCACTGAGACGCATCAACCTGGGCCAGCAGAGGGTCAGTACGCTCGATGCCAAAACTACTTTCTATCAAGTCATTGGAACGTGTCATTAGAAACTCTGTTGACAAGATACAACTGTGTGAAATGTGTATTAGTGGAAAACATGTGTATCTGCATAGTTACACACCAAATAGGAAGATCTTTGTAAATATTAACTACATGTAATGTGTCGCTATCACCCGACTGTAGTTCCCCTTAGCTCTACGGAGCTTTTTAGTGAGTTTCAGCTCATTGTTTTGAGCTCACATGTTTCTTGTCTTTAGGGTATTAGTTCCGTCTGTGCACTGTCGTCGTCCATGTTTCCAGCAACAGCAGGCTGCTGTTTCCAGAGACCAGGCTCTGATAAACCCCCTGCACACGACCTCCTCCGCTCCAAACAGCAGACACACAGTTAGAGACTAGCTGGTGAACATAGTGGAGCGTTCTGCAGCTAGAGAGCCAGGTGTTTTTGAACAGAGCTAACAGGAGAGTGAATATTAGACATTCATCTAGGGCTGTCGCAGTGAAGTAACGATCTACTGTGGCTCATCAGCCGTATTATTGCCATTTCTGTACAAACAGCAACAACACACCCACGCACCGGTGCGGAGCAGAATGTGCTTCTGTTTAGACAAAGATTTGCAAAAAGCAACATGAAAAACAAGTTTTACAGGCAAACAACCTACTGCGCTCGGTATTTAGCGCGCTTCAAATGAGGCTTAATGTTCACACAGTTTCTTTTGACTGTCCTTCAATATTACAACATTAGTCCAGTGTCGCCCAGCCTGCTAAAGTTAGCTAACCTACAAAAGAAACAGTAAAACAGCATAAAAACATGGCGGCACGTGGTGGTACATCCTTGCTCTTGAACCGTTACTGTTACGGCCCTCATGTTGCTTGTCGAATTTCTTAAACATTGATAGATTTATTTAACACACATTGTAAAGTGTCAAGCAAGAAGGTATGAACATAGCTTGTTGCAGTTGGTTTGCGAATAGTGCAGTATTTCAATATATCACAACAGCCCTACGACACAAACATGACTCCAAATAAATACTTTGCGACTCTGACTCACTCTGTAGCTTCCCGGTTAGGTGCCGTGTGGGATGGGCTTTGCGATATGTTTAATGCTCTGCCTCCCAGACAGACGGGTGAGGCTGTAATTCTCATTACAAACCTGAACATGGCTGCAAACCAGAGGCAGCTTTGCTGTTCCTAGATCTTAGATCAGCTCTACGTTATCAGGCTTAGTTCAACATTCATCAGACTCCGCTGTCATCGGTTAGCTTTAGCAGGAATTTGTTAGTCACAGTTGTGCTTTGAGCTTAATGCTAGAACTGATACGCATGTATAACAGCAAAATAACTTTGGACCAAATTTTGATTATATATATTTGAATGGAGCCACTGTGATCAGTTGTTTCACTCACAGCAGCAAAGTAAAAGTACAATTGATTTGATTTCACTTTATCATCAGATATTTGTCTTGCACCCCATAATGTACACACACATAACAAAAACACAACATTTAACCAAAACAAATACTACAAGCATATATTAGATCAGACATTACGAATAAGTGGCTGCAGTCTGTTACAGTACGTTCAGTGCTTAGTCTATACAGGAACACTAAGGACTACTTAGAACCCAAACTCTGTTTGACAGACTGGGAACAAGAGTTGTTTAACCTCGAGACTGTGGACTCAACTTTGGTGAACACACACACTTGCATGGCTGACCAGTCGTTTACCAGGGACCTTAAGTAATGCTGCTCCATACACTGCTGCGTACGGCTGCTTTGCATGTTGGGTACTGATGCAGTTCTGTCTGAGGAAGATCCTCAGATGGTGTGGATGTTTAAAGGGCTTAGTTACCTTTTCTGAAAAAACACCTTTTCTGTAGTGAAAGGGTCAAAAAGTTATTGAAATAAGAAATGTGTTGTGGCTCTTTGGTCTGTTACTTTAAATGGACACACCACACATGTGTATGCATGACAAACCAGCACAAACTCACTTTATGATCAGTACGATTGCTTTATCAGCTGTGGTATGTTGTCTAGCATAATACATTCTTCCCTGTCAGGTATTAATAAAGTTTATCTTGTCTTACAGCTGTAAACGTAAAGGCACTTCAACTGAGATCTAATAATCAAATGAACTTTATATAGTGAGTATGTAAGCCTGTGTATCACCGTGATACTTTACAGTGTGTCTGCTGTTTCAGAGGAAGCAGGACAGTAAGGCCCAGGCTCCCAGGTTTCCCAAGGTGAAGGATGAAGGCTGGTTCCTAGTCCTGGGAGAGGTGGATCACAGGGAGCTGCTGGCTGTCAAACGGACCGGATACGTGCGCAACCACACAGCTGTGTCTGTGGCCTTCTACACACCGGAGAAGACTGGAAAGTAAGCAGTCTTACAAGCTTTCCCTGTACACTCCATACGCAGTGTTTGAAAGGAAACTCCTCAGTAGGTTAGTTTCAGGTCAGACTAGGCGAACTGCATCATTCGCCTGACAACAGGCCATTATAGACCAGCCATTTCACCAGAACATAGATGATTGTTCCTTACTTTTAGATTCCCTACCTCATTATAATGGAAACTAGACTGTGGGAAGTGACCAAACCCCATGAAAACAATGTGTTTGTCCTTCTCTCAATACTTTCTGTCTGTGGCTCCGAGTCTTAAGCCCATTGTTTCCTACTGAACATATAAATCTTAGAAACTGTAGTTTCTAACAAACATTACCCAAACAGAAAGAAATGGTACGTTTGTTGGGGACTACTCAGCAGCAGGACTGTGTGTGTGGGATTGAGTCAGAATAAACTACAGTGTGTGTGTTTGTGGTTTTTAATAGTTTTTGGACAACAATGTAGCTCTATGGCACAGAGGAAGACGATACGTCAGGCTTTGCTGACTATAAGAAAACTACAGAATATCACCAGACTGTAACCAAACAGAAAAAAGACCATTTTATACTGTGAAGAATTAGTCATGGTCAAATCAGAAACTTCAGATTACTGCATTGCCAGAAACTGCCAGAAATGACCTGAGCAGCTACAACTCAGGTTTGCCCTTGACTTCCTGAGTTTTAGCTGTTGCAAGTTTAAAAACAAATGGCTTTAGAATTTTACAGCACCACTGGGATAAATTTCTGTCTGCTGACTCATGTACCTTCCGGTTTCAGGTGTATCTACACGCTGTACCTGATGAGCGACAGCTACCTGGGTCTGGACCAGCAGTACGAGATCCACCTGAATGTAAAGCCTGCCAGCATCGCTGCTCAGGTCAACACAGAAGTGTCACTTAGTGACTGACCTGTCCCTCAGCTCGGGAACAGAGGAAGCCACCGTCAGCGGCAGTAACACAGTTCCAAGGATGCCTGCAGTGATCAGCAGCTGAGTGGGACGAATCTGAAACACAGGACTGTGTCCGAGGAGGTCTTCCTCACGCTGTTAGGTGTCGCTGATCTCTGATGATCAGTGCATTCCCGTCATCATTTTGCAATGACGAGTTTACTATTTTGCTGCACCCACTTTGCATCAGCTGATCTGCTTCAGTTACATAGAAGATAACATATGTAATGTGACTGCAGTGCATTCTGGTCTGTTGAACCTGCTGTTAGAGAAAAAGGTACATTAGGTCTAGAAGTATCTCCTGTGATTCTTTCAAACTGAAATAAATATGATCTTCATTTAGTTACTTGCTTTAGTTAAACAGATTTCATGTTTTCAATTAATGGATTTACCTCAAAGCCATCAGTCATCGATCCTTCTGTAACGTCACTGATGGACAGTAGTTATGTCCCATTTTCAGAAGGTGTCTCCTTTAAAGTCTAGAACAAATATGTAAAAACAGAGCAGTGAGGCTGTCCTGTTCCCTTTGTGCCTCTGAAATAAAGTTTCCCCCCTGTGATCTGAAAATCCTGATATTCAGATGAACTAGGTCGATTCGATCATCCAACAAGCATGAAGCATGCCGAGGCCTTACATTTGGGTACTGTCGGAAATGATGCTTTGTTGAATTAGTCCAGTCCTCCAAAGACCCCACTTTCAGAAGCCATGTTGAAGGAGGCAGCCCTGAAATGGGACAGAGCCTCTGCCAGTGGAGCATTCACTGCCATTTTGAATGCCACTGTAGTTTGTCTGGGCAAACTGGGCTCCACAACATTTACTCAAAAAAATCAATTCCAGTCAACATCCACGATGTGACAGAGGCTGCTACAGAGTTATGGAACCGTGTCCCCCGTTACCCTTTCATAGGCCGAGGAGAATGGTGTCTCTCTTGGGCAATAGAATCAACCAACGTTCACTATATTCACACAGCGTTTCCACCCTGGCGCGTTCAATTCATAAACTTCTATTGCAGTCACTTTCACTAGCATAACCTAGGCTGTAATATTGCTGGATATTGTGTCAGGAGAATATATATCAACCAGTGAGATGTGGTCAGAACGCGACATGCTTTACAGATTCAGCCTGGTGCTGATTTGTGCTTTACCTGACCAAAGATGTAGATAACAGGTGAACTTATGTTCTAGGGTTTGTTTGTTTTTTTAAAGACAGGAGGAAATAAAATAGACCCCCACAGACACTCTATCCAACTTATAACAACCACTGTGGCTTGTTGGGTTCAGGGTTAACTGCTGCATGGAGTCTGCGGTTCTTGTGACACAATATTTAAAAAATAGCTTTGGTGTATTGAATTGATTTAGAATTAGTTGTTAGTTTAGAAAATCTTAATTGAGACATTGATCCAAAGATAAAACACACATCATTTTGGTTTTGCAGTTTTGTGTCATACGGGAAAAAACTGATTGTTTCCTCTCTGAGCGTGAACCTAGGATGTTGGGTGGCCTGGGCCATAGCAAGGTATCGCCAGTCTTCAGTAGAGCAGGTACCATTACAACACAGTCATGGAGTACAGTATAATGTGTTTCATTAGTAATAAATCACTGAATCAAAGTACTATAGAAAGTACAGTTTAGTTGGTATTGCTAAATGCAGTTGAGTAATGGATGTCCAACAATTAAGTTAAATTTACACAAGTGAGTTAAGTCAGTATAATGAAATATCTTTATGTTGGCATTAATCATCACAGTTAAGTAAAGCTAAACAAACAGGATTTTGTTGAAATGATGTTGCTTCAGTTTAGTTAACTGGACGCTGACCTATTAATTAAATCCAAGTTGACCAGATAATGTTGGAATTGCCTAAAACATCATGTTGGTTGCACATAAGTCAGTTCTCGGCATCATAATAATACTATTTAATTATATCTAACTCAACTCAGTTTGGTGGAAATTGTTGACAGAACTGGATTAAAAAAGTCCCAACAAATTATTTTTTGAGTGCAGTGTCTTGCCTGTAAAGGGTTACGCCAACAGATGACCACATACAGTGCCTTAGCAACATACTGATGGACTCTAATTCCATCCATCGTCAACCGCTTATCCTGCGTACAGGGTCGCATCTAGGCCGCATGATTTTGGAGGGTTAGGAGGAACCGGAGAGAACCCACGCAGACACGGGGAGATTAATTCCAACTACACCTAATCGATGGTATTTAATTGATGAAAGTAAGTCTGATATTCCCCCTCCTTTTAGCTCTGTTTTTGGTCTCCTCTGGCTCCTGAGGGAAATCACATTATTTTCACAGCGTCATTTGGTACATTTTTAATAAAGAAATCATAGCTTTAACATCGGCGCAGATTGTGTTCGTCGACTCACAGCCGTCGTGCACTTCAACCCTGTTGTTTAAAGTTTTTCTCAATTGCTTAAACACATTTCTTAAAATGATGTCGCTTTTTATTAAAGCTCTAAACACAAATCCACAACTTCTCACCCAATTCCCCAAACATCCTATTTTCAGGTCAAAATGAAGCTCTGCACTCAAAACCATTCAATCTTTGCCCTCTGACAAAACACACAGCTCCTGAAAAACACACACTACAACACAGTTTTACACACTGGTGAGGAAAAAATCAAAACAATACTACAAAAACTGGTTGTTAGTAATGTTGCGTGTGGTTCTCCCCCTCAAAAACTTTTTCACATTATGAACACAGAAGAAATAACCTCCTCCTCTCTGGTGTCCTCTTCCTTCAGATTTATCTGGATTCATTGTTCCTACACTGAATGAACTGACTCCGGCCCTTTTTATCAATCTATTGAAGCTTCTGATTGGTGTGTTATTAATTACGACTGTTTGTGTTTCCACCTGGGTAGCTGTGTGCTAACTGGGCTCAAACTGTGCTGAACAATATTGAATGTCAGCGCTTTCTCAATGACCGCAGGGGTTAAGTTAGTTTCACAGCTGTTACCTTCAATGGCTTCGTCTTAAAGCCTCGATGTCTTCCAGTTTAGAGATATGTTGAAGAGCTAATTAAGGCAGTTTGATCACCTGAAAATCACCAAAGATGGCGATGCACTTTGCAGCACTACGAAATGAATGTCCGTCCGCCACGCCTGTCACGGTAACAGCGTTAGGGGCCGTCTTAAAAGTGCAATACAATCCATTTCAATCATCAATAACTTTTTTTGTTTTTAAACACACAATTTCAAACCACTGCCAATATAGATAGTGACCACCTTTAAACAATTCACACCTGTGAGTTTGTAAAGAAAAGTTCCGAAAAACAAGTATTATTAATTAAATATGCACAGTTCCAAGGTTGTAATTTCAAGAGCCTGCTCATTTATGAATATTGACATCAGATCACCTCTCATCTGTCCTGGACGTTCTTTCACAACTTTCACAGCTGTAAGTTGTTTTTTGTAATGGTTGAATGTTTTTATTAAATGTTGAGAATCGTGGAATTTTACTGTTATCGGGATCAACTTCTACATTTTTGGTATCGTGACATCCCTAAACAGTTGAAGTCTGACGTTTACACACAATATATTCAAACTTAGCTTTTTGTATTTCTTGACATTTAATCCTAGTAAACATTCCCTGTCTTAGGTCAGTGAGGATCACTACTTTAATTTAATAATGTGAATTGTCAGAATAACAGTAGAACAGAGTTCTGTCTGTAGGCCTCGCACACACTTAGGTTTGCCCACAAATTTTCAATTGGATTGATGTAGGGCTGGGCGATACGTCCAAAAATGTTATCACGATAAAAAATTTCATATCGTTCTATATCAATAATTATCAGGATAAATGTCTAATCATTATTTCTTTTAAGTTCAAAGGCTGATTTTTGCTCCTGTGTGAAAGTTGAGGAAACCAGAAGGTTTATTGTGGTTTTTCTTTATGGTCAGAACAATTATGATAAAATCTTTTTTCAGTCCCTTTTCCTCAACAAATAAAATATCTTAATAGATTTTCTTGTGGTTAATGTATAATGTACTGCTGTCGGAGTTTTTTTTTCTCATCGCAGCGTTCACAACCCCTCTCTTTCATTCACTAACCATTTTGTAGAGTTCAGTGCTCTTGTGGTGACCAACATCTGGGAGATGTGTTCTGACCAAATATCTATGAGGCAGCTTCTCGCAGGACCAAGTCAACCCGTGATTCATTTTTCGCATGAGGTAGTGATTTAATGGCGTAAGGAAAGCCCTAGAAGGGTAAGCAATTTGAACTGTGTGAACACAAGTGACTTATTCAAATTGATTCAGAACAAAGTATCTGTTCCAACAGGTTTCTGTATGTGCCCACAACTGATAAATTTAAGTTCAAACTCATGATACACCATTGGAAAGCTTTGTTTGATTCAACCAATGCAGTTTCAGCTTCCTGAAAATGAGCTTCACAGAGAACCTGACATGGTCGTCTCACATCTCCACGCTGCTGAAGAAACGACTTTTATTTCTTGAGGAAGCTTAAGACGGTCAAATTCCCGTGCCGCATTCTTGTGAGCTTTTACAGAGGAGCAACAGAAAACATCCTGACTGGAAACATCACAAACTGGCGTGGGACGTGCACGGCCCAGGACCGGAGGGCTCTGCAGGGTGATTAAACTGCTCTGAAGATCATGGTACCCATCTCCTGAGCATCAGTGATATCAGTGAGGTGAGGTGACTACGCAGAGCCCAAAGATACTAAAGGACAGAACCCACCCAGCCACAGCCTGTTCACCCTGCTGCCTTCTGGGAAAAGATATAGAAGTATCTGCTGTTGCACCACCAGACTGCAGAGCAGCTTTCCCCCCCCCCAAGCTATCAGACTCTTAAACTCTAATTCATCCTCAGCACTGCTCCACTGATGATAGATTATTTCTGTTTACCGTTTTTGTAAATGCTTCTTTATTAATGTATACTGTCTGCTGTGTAGCAGAAGGGAGTTTCACTCTATAACCTGTTATATTGTGACAAAATAAATCTACCTACGTACTACGAAACCTCACAGTGGTCGCACTGATCGACTATATTACAACAAAAAGTCCCAGCTATAGTTGTCTGCATGCATGTGTTAACAAACATTTTCAAGTGGAAAAGAAAAATGTATTTTAGTGTGTTCAAACTATTATTAATCCATTCCAGTAGCACTTACAGTGATTCTGACTGTTGGGTTAGACACTTCAGACTGTTGTCATACAGAAAAGCCCAAAACCATGCATTTAATATAAATGGTTCAAGAACTGCATTCAGTTTTCTTTTTAGGCGAATTTCACAGGAATGGTAAGAGGTTAATGACTTCAACCTAGTGTATGTAAACTACCAACTTAAGCTGTAGGAGGGCTACGCTACATCAGTGGAGTAGTTTTAAAGATCCTGGTTATACTGATTATTGCTCATAAACTGCTGTTAAGGTTGGGCAACTTTGGGCAACTTTGGGCAACCCCCCCCCCCCAACAAACTTGGGGAAAGATCGTGTTTATGGTTGGAAAGAAAAGGCCGACACGATGCAAACTCCGGTCTCTGGCATGAAAGTCAGATGTGCTACTTCACACCCTTACATCTGCCTCGCTACATAAAGGCCGCATTGCTTCCTGTATAGGCCTTTTTCATAGCAGACACTTTGTCTTGTCAGACCAGGAAAAGCACAGGTGTTGCTAATAGCATTAATGATGGCAGCAAGTGTCCAAGTAAGCCCAGTGAGCCAGCCAGCACAACACCAGGAGGCTGAAACCAAAGCAGCTAGATGGAATTGAGTCATCATTCATGTACACCTGTGCTTTTCCTACAGGGACATGCCAACATGTCTTCTGTCAAACAGGCCTGTTGGCACTGAATTATACTGGGCTGTGCACTAATGGGATGATGGGTAGTTTCTTATAAATGAATTGTCCCTGTTATAATGTAAGACACACCCAGAAATGGCTTGACGGCTGAGGATGAAATGTTAATAACTCTACAGCATCAACCCCAGAAACTCAAACGCAGGATCCGTATTTCTTAGAAACAACCACACTGACATCAAAAGTGTATTCAAAGTTCATCATTCAATTTGTACTTAGACCCTTGGGATTAGAATGTCCTGACAGTCACAGTTTGTGCATGCATTGACGATCTTTACATTTTATTGCACACTTCTTAAACCCTGTTTAAGCTGTTTATCGTGCACAACATTTTTCACTGAATCACACTTGTTTACATCTACTTTAAATAGTGGGCTATAATCCAGTTATTGTGTTGGCGCTCATAATAGCCAGTGTGCTGAATAAAGCTTCCAAAGATCCATCCAAGACAGATTACCAGCAGATAACAGCAATTATGACAGAGGTCACATCCCCTGTAATATTTCTGGTTCACTGATGTGAGGAGAAGTTGACATCATAAGATCACACACACACACACACACACACACACACACACACACACATATTACACATTTAGACCACCTATGTTCAGATTTGACAGTTGTAAGCTTAAATTTGACATTATAATAAAGGGATTTAGTATTCCACATATGTGGCAGTGTGAAGAAGGGTTCCCAGCATTTAACCATAATGTTAGGACATTTACATAAAACATAATTAAAAAGTAAAAACATTACACATGTAAACAATCTCTGTTATGTATTGTCTTTTTGTTGTTTTTTTTTTTTTTTTATTCCCAGATGTTCCCAAATGTTTGATTTTTTTTTCTGTGGTTAGTCCAAAAATGTTTCTGTGGGTTGAGTGGGGGACAATTTGAATTTATGACCTCAGTATTTCTAAAATCCTGGCTGCGCCCTTAACCAACAAAAATGTTTTCCAAATCCCATGTGCTTTTTCAACCTGCGTTAAGTGTTGTTAAACACACTGTATCTGTCTGACCTCTGCCATTTAGTACAAAATACACTTGTCACAGTTAACCCCCCCCCACTCTCTGTGCAGCTCGCTCAGTTGTTCCATGCCGGATTACTACATGAGCCCAGGTTTGCTGTGTGGTCATCTGAATAAACACACATGAATTCCGAAAGATGCAACTTACAACTGAAATACTGAAGGTCTTGAAAATGGAATTTGACAACTGATGTTGTGTTTTAGTGGAATATAAGCTTTCACTTAAATCAGCACAAACTTGTGAACGCACATTAAGACTGGAGCTTTAGGGGCCTCTTGATTTCAGGGCCCAACGCCAGTTTACCAACATGGTAAATAACTATGAAATAAATTTGCAATGAATCAAAAGTTAGTTAAAAATAAGACCAACAATAGAAATAAAAACTTGTATCGTAATCTCCCTTTGGTCTGCACCTTGAGGCCCCGTTTTGCAGAGGGGCCCTGTGTCAAACGCTAGTTTTTAAGACTTTTAATGTTTAATTTTATAGTATGTTTAACAGGTGTGTTCATCAGGGCTACAAGTAATTATTATTGTCATGTTGGACTCAGCTGCCAATTATTTTAGCAATGAATCAATATTGAGCTATAAAACATCAGAAAACTTAAAATAAAATGCCCCTCACTGTATCCTAGAGAGAACACTGACCTCATTAAATGTCTTTTGTACAATTAAAAGGCTAAGTTGACTTTAATGTAAAACCAAAAAAAGCATCAGATCTGCACATTGTAGATCTTGGAATAACATTTCTGGAGTTTTACTTTTGTTAAAAAATGAATTGTTTTTCACAATATTTGCAGAATAAATGTTGGAACTAATAGAAAAATCAATGAAGCAGCAGCTCTAGTTTAATCAAATGTTCACAAACTACGTGACACACAGCACATCTAGGGCAGGACAGTATTCAAGAGTACTGGTAGGAATTTTGGGGTCAAAACTGTGATGGGTAAGTGTGGGAGTCTGAAGAGGGGCCCACAGCTCATTTTCGCAGTTGCCCTCTTTGCATGGCTGTTAATCCAGCCTTGGGTATGTATCCACCAGTAGGAAAAGTAGCCAAATAATCATTTCTGTTGCATTATTTGTTTAAGAACACCTGTTGCTGTCCGGAGGCTCTTTCTGAATGTTGTTGTAATAAAAAGTCAGCTTTGCATCTCAAAAGCAAATAGTCGGATATCTAGTTCACTGAAACGTTTGTTCGGATGCTTCTGTAACAGCTCTGATCTTTGAACAATATAATCAGCGTGTTGTGATCACTGCATATCCGGGCTAAGTCGGCGCTGACTGCGCGGAGACTTCGCCATATGGAGGACTTTCGATCGTCATATTTTCCACAGACGCACTTTAATTACCAGTAAATTTGGAGTTGAAGCGAAGGTTAAACCAGCGTCAACCATTTCGTGCGCCTCCAGCATCTCGGGTGATTTCCTCACCGCAGGCTGGATCCCATTACCGCGCGGGCGCGCTGGCTCCAGCACAGCCGGAGAGGGAGCGAGCCCGCACGGTGTGTGCGTGGGTGTGTGTGCGCGCGCTCCCACACCAGCATCCAGGCCTGTAAGGGTCGGGAAACAACGGTAGCCTCGAATTAAGCTTGGTCTTTAACAGCATGAAGCCTGCGTCCAGTAACAGGCTATGCGAAAGCCTAAACGCTAATGACCGCATTCATAATAACTTTACTGTATAAACCAGCTGCTGTAAAATCTGAAGACGCGTTAAACCAATAACCACTTTTAAACAGGTGTTAGTGGTGTCTGCAGGTAAAGGTGAGTAAGTCGGGCTTCTCTGAAAGGGTCTAACATCAGATGCCACGTGGCCTCGTGACACCTCCATTAATCTGAGTAGGACTACCTGTTTATTCTACTGCGATGTGCAGATACAGTAATTCATCAGTAAGAATCAGCGTTTTCATAATAGGCACACAAAGGTAGGCTATGGGAAATATAGGCTATATAGCCTGTTATATCTATTTTAGAAAATGTTACCAAGAAACTGAAATGAACCTTTATCCACTCCTGTGTGCAGAACGTGATGGCACATTTCCATTTCCCGAGACTCAACCAGTAGGCCAAGATGAACGTCTTAGAAAATACAAAGCAACTTATGAAACCATTTCAACTTTGATTTTAGAGACGCAGCCTATAGTTCACATAAACCAGTCTCTGTGTCATATAAACCAAATACAATAATAAGCCATAAATACATCGCGTGCTTTAAATAAAACAACATCGGCAGAACCGGATCAGCGCATGTTGGAATGCTCGGGATCAGGAGAGGCCTACAATTTAAGAACCATGGAAGCCAAACTTCCTTCAGAAATCTGACTGTTCTCAACAGCAAATAGTGGCCTGGATCATGGCCTGACCTTTCTGAAGGAAAGTTGTTTGAATGTTTGTATTTGTATTAAAACACACTGCTGCCAGTGAGGGCGACACCCGGATGTTGCTGGATGCAGGTTGTTAGCCTGATTTTATAAATGATGAAAATTGAAATAGCCTGGCCTGCATTAAGTTAAGTAAGGATAGATAGGCCCGCATGCTTGTCACATGAAAGACAAGCTCCCATGGATTATTATATAAATCAGTTTACTAAATGTGTCAGCTATTTAAAAAAAAAAAAAAAAAAAAAAAAGAAAATAGATCCTTTAAACTGACATATGTTTTCAGGAGTTCTGCATACCCGGTTCTCTCAGAGCAGAGGGAACGGGCTCTGGGGGATTTTCTCTCCACTTCGGGCCAGAGGTGAACATCTACAACCGGCCAATCCCCGTTCCTCGTGAGCACGTCATTACGAGTACTGGCCAATGTATATGCGAGCAGGGTGTCCAACCGTCCAATAGGAGCAGGGCTGCGTGCAGTGGTGGGCGGGCCCTCGCGCCTGCAGCACTGAGGAGGCTCAGGATGCGCCGCTATCCACAAAATCACATGCAATCGAAGATATGCGAATGCTGGGCTTTTTTGGAGACTCTCTCTGGACACGTTGAAGCCAAACAGGCGTCAGTTTAGCGACCTGTCGGCCGCGTCTGCGCGGAGGTAAGTGAACAAGCACCTGGTTAAATGTGATTTATAAGAACACAGCCACTAACCTTACATTTCTGCAGAAGGATTCAAACAAGTGTTTAGTTTAGTTTTGCTGACAGACACGGGGGATGTCTCGCCCAAATAACGGTAGCCTACAAATCAAAGTGTATCTGACCCGGTCTTCGTCCTGCAGGGCCTCATGCCTCCAGCGGTTCCACAGGTCCCTTTAACACCAGGTGTGATGGATCCATGTGTGCGGTGAGCCCCCCAACGGGCTGACCAAAACGCCACTAGAAGCCTCAGAAATCCAGGAATTACCCGCGTCCTGTTCGTCGCCAAGCACCGCAACACCTGGAATATGGGGACGCGTCCACGCGCCGGCAGCTGCGGGTTTTAGGCCGACGAAGGCCAGAAATCCTCAAGTTCAGAGACGTCGCGGCTCCATTGCGATGCTATGAGACAGCCTGACACGGACTGAGGGGACAACATGAAGGAGAAATCTAAAAACGCTGCCCGGACCCGGCGGGAGAAGGAAAACAGTGAGTTTTATGAACTGGCCAAGCTGCTGCCGCTGCCCTCCGCCATCACCTCCCAGCTGGACAAAGCCTCCATCATCCGGCTGACAACCAGCTACCTGAAAGAGAATAGTGTTCCCCGAAGGTAAGAGAGCTGCTTTTAAAAAGACACACATCCAAATACACAGAATACCAATTTTATCAGCAAAATAATAAATCTGACACCTACAAAATTATATTATAGGCTATAATTATAATTATATAAAAGCAAAAAAGCTCCTATAGTGTTAATAGTATAGTTTCTAGTTTCTAGTATATAGTATAATTTCGGATGTTGTTATTATTATTAGCCTTTTAGTATTAATAGTACAGCAGGCTCGAAGTCTAATATTTAAATTATGTTGGTGCTCTAGCTATATGCAAGGCTTCTTGTGTTTTTTATTAGGTCTACAGACTTTCTTGATATTATTTTCTAAATAATAGGCTATATTTGTCTATCTTAATTTTCTTTTGTCCTTTTTAATGTAATAAATATCATTTTCTGGGTGGTGATTTGTGGCCAGCAATCCTGGAAATTCATTGTTCATAATTTTACAGGAACGAAAAATCAGTAGCCTAATCTCCGCATTCCATATTTATATAACAAAACCCCCACATCGTTCTACAAATTCTCCTACAAAAAAACCCCGTCCGTAAGCGTGATTTGTTTTAGTTTTTTTTACATCATTTTCATGTTTTATTATTTGAGCTTTACTCACGAAAATCTCTATATGAAGGCTTGTGCGCACATTTTTTATAGTGTTTATTCCAGCTTCAGGACTTTGATGTAGGCCTGTTATTTTTGTCCTAATCCTGTAGGTTATTATTAAAATATCTTCACCTGGCTGTTCAGTGAAATCTATCCTTATCGCGGTGATTAGAATATATTCTTCAGATATGAAATGACATTTCGCCATACTGACTGAGCACATATCGAGTCAGCAGCGGCTGTCTCCTGTGTCCCTCGGTCCGTGTCCACAGCCTGCAGTGATGTGGTTTCTCTCCGGGGCCCCTGGCGTCCCCTGCCAGCAGATTAGCTGTGATGGGGCTCCGTCCTGCGTGCCTGCTGCAGAGCCGCGGATATTAGTATGATGTGCACGTCTGATCCCGCAACATATGGAGCTCCTTGTAACATTGAAGCAGGCCTGCTACAGGGATGGTGGCGTGACAAAGAACCTGGTGGGGAAACAACAAAGGAAACATGGATCTGGAATGGATCTGTGTTTTTACCCTCTGAGAGCCAACAACTAAATATGGCTGTATTGATCATTTACATCACAGGATTCACACACTGCAGAATGAGACCAGTACAAGATCAAAAGTATCATTAAAACCATCAGTATCCTCTCTGCAGGAACATTGGTCTTTATATATATATATACAGATAATTAATAAAGAGCAATTTTGCTGTAGAGCTGATAATAAAGGTGTCATATACTGTGAAAATAGAGCTAATAAACCAGAGGAAAGAAGCGTAATCCACGTTAGCCTTTAATGTTAACACTCTTTTGTATCTTCTTCCCTCCAAAGTCTTCTGTGTTCTGATGAGATACCAGTGCTTAAAATGGCACAAATGTAAAGTACAGCACTTGGCTGTACTTTGCGTGAAAAGTACCAAAAAGTTAGAAAATCTTTTTTCAGGGATACACTGCACATTGTGCGTGCATGACTGCGAGATGTTTGGCTGCTGTACTCGTACTGTGCTGCTCCACATGTGTGGCGACATAAGTATGCAGATGAAGCTCTCTGAATCAGGGACGCTCTCGCTCACGCAGGCTGCAGGGCTTCGCTCCTCTGTCCTCTGAGTTGTGTTTTCTCCATTAAAACACATCTGCTGGTTTAAAGGCAGGACCTCTTCACACCTTTTTACTCCGAGGACTCCCCTACACTCCACCACGTTAGTCGTGAAGAAGCCCATCTGAGAGGGCTTTAGTGGTTTTGCATAAGTAGGGAGAAGAAAAGCTAAAAGTATTCTTAATTTTGACGGGATGCATCAAAGTGGGCTTTTTTTCACTGACTTTGTGGGGCGGTGGTGGCGGGGTACTTTTATTTATGGCGCTCAGAGTGGTCAGTTGAATGACCTTTGACCTCAGCTATGTTGTCCATCCGGGATTAAATTACATGACACCCCACACCACAGATATCTTGCTGATCCTCTCTGCCTAAACCCTGAAAGAGATTTAAACAGAGAGGGAGGCTAAAATCACTTGTTTTAAATGTACTGTACATCTGCTAAATAAAACGACCATTTATCTACTTTACTGTGACTAATTCACATTTTATCACAGCTTATTTAACGGCTACAGTAGCAAACCTTCACAACAAAGAAAAAATGTCAGGAAGATTACAATGTGTAATACAAAAAATGTCATGGTCCATCTTAGGGTGTCCCCGGCAGACTGACTTCTTGTCTTGTTGGCTTCAATTTCGAGCATTATGAAATATGCAAACTTTATGTTTAATGGCCAAGTGAGATTTGAAATGGCTCAAGTGAGGTACCGTAGTTTATTATTCCCGCATGGAGATGTTTATGCTCAGTTGTTCTTTTCAATAAATTGAATGCGCTGCTGCTTATGTGCCCTCAGCAACATGTTCATACTCTCCCCCCAAAAGTTTATTATTATTATTATTATTATTATTATTATTGCTGGTCTTTAAGTGTGTCAGACCGTGTTAACGAAACAGTGACTTCTTAATTGTGTATTGCTGCCAGTTTAAAGATTAATAATAGGCAGCAGGCTGGCCTGATAGTGTTGAATTGTGGAACACGAAATCATCGATGAGTGCGATCGGTTCACTAGATTTATTTATCTTTTTATTCAAACATGTGTCTCCCAAGTGGATATCGGGCGTTTTAGATTTTATTGTGTTAATTTTACATATTAAATAAATTTAAAAAAAGAAGAAGATGTTTTTATGTTAAAAGAGGTGGGTCCCACCCGAAGATGATTAAAGAGATGAATTGTTGTGTTTATTTTGAGCTTTTCTCGTTTTGCTTTTTTCTTCTTGTGAAACACTGGACGCTTTCACCTCTTCAGGCCCCAAACGAGGAAAAAACATCGCTTCTTTTTGTAAAATCTGTGGCCACAAGCAGAAAAGGTCGGAAAGCACTGCTGTAATAATGTAAAATATATCGTATAAAGTGGGGAAATGCGCGTTTGTCACGTCTCCTCTAAAAGATAATCCAATGATGAAATGAATAGTTTAAATAATAGCGATATATGAATAAATAATATAGGAGGAGGCTGCTCACTTCAGGAGCTTTCTCACCTCCCTGCAGGTGAGCTCCCAAACAGATTGGTCCAGTATCCGGTCCAGTATCTTGTGCATGGTTTCAGGTGGAGAGTCCACACCGGGACTCTCCTCAGCCAAACGATGAGGAGCTCCTATGGACATACTATCACTGCATACCAAACTTCATTAGATTTTCTTTCACTTTTAGCGTGTTTAACCAATCTAATCTAATATAGGCTACAAAAAACAGGATATTAAAGTGATTATTTCTTATTGGTATGTTTTCCTCAGAACGGGCAGCGTCTCACTAATAACCTAATTTTTTTTTTTTCTCGTTCCAGCAAAAGCACAGCTCTCCTACACTTCTAACTGATTCATGTGGATATTATTAGGGGCCTACAGGACTTCTGTGAGGACTAATTGCGGTGTGCGTGTGAGACCAACAGCCTTAACAGACGCACCCCAGAGCTAAATGTTAAAATCCCTCTTCTAACTCTTCCCGTGCTGGATCCACAGTGTACTGCGTGCGTTGAATCCGGTTTCTGGTTCTGCTTCAGACCCGGCGGCTCGCGTGATGAAGTGTTACCCTGCGCTGTAGTAAAGTCCTTTAAAGGCTCTATCTTTATTTGATTTACATTTGATATGAAGTGGAAGCCAGTGAGTTGTTTCACTTGTGGGTATTTTGGGGGGGGGATTTGATTGTGTCTTTTTATGCAAACGTGAGATCCATGTGGGCTCCAGGAGGGGCGGGAGCGGCGGGGCGCTGTGATCCCTGCATGCCGCCTGTTTATTCTGCAGAGCTGGATTTGCATTTCAATGCAGACCCTGCACAGACTCTTGTTTGCTGTCCGCTGTGGCTCTGTGCCTCACGCCATCTGAGATGTTATTTACTACTGTTGGGAAGGGTTTAGTGAAATGTTTTCACGCTACGACATTTGCAGTGATCCAGATTGGATAAAGGTCCGCTCCCAGATTCGGGTGTATTTATTAGAGCTGTAGGCTGACAAGTCATCGCAACAAACACTTTTTCTGATCAGATGAAGCTGTTAAATGTTTGTAGTCTACAGTCTTGAAATTGAAAGCTTATTCAGTAATTGTGCACTGAGGGAAAAAGGAATAAATGTATTGTTCAGACATTATCGTACTGATATATACATTTGCTGTTTATGATGCAGCCAGAATACAATTAGGTCTGTAGGGTATAATTATAAGTCTTCTGTCATGCATATGCTGTAGAACTAGAAATGCTCTTGGTGTACAAGATTTTGAATCATATTCTTTGTCTTGCTTTCAAGGCAAGGCAAGTTTATTTGTAAAGCACATTTCAACAACAAGGTAATTCAAAGTGCTTTACATAAAACATAAAAGCAACAGGGAAATATAAAAAAGTTTAAAAGCAACATAAATATAATAAAAGTTACAGGGTTACAATCAGGGTTAAAAGAGTTAAATGGAAAATAAAAACAGGCTGAGGGGATTTCATTGTAAAATAAACATTTTATTTCTTATAATTACATTTTCCACTGTGTGTGATTTGTTTGTCAGGCCTGGGGGAGTCCTGGGGTCATGTGAGTCGCAGCAGTTCTCTGGATGGAGTCAGCCAGGAACTAGGCTCCCATCTCTTACAGGTAATTTTTTTTACTAGTTTATATATTTTACAGAATTCACGGTTTTAAAGCAACTGAAAAACATTGTGGGCTTTGGGGTTTGCAAGTGGCTGGGAAGCCACAAGGTCACTTAAGAGGGCCCTTAAAATATTAATTTAAATGAAAAATCTAAATAATTCTACAGCTTAAATTCACCCTAACAAGACATTATTATTATTATTATTATTATTATTATTATTATTATTATACCATGGGTAGAGGGTGTGTGTGGTTTAGTTGCTACTGCCGTCTGCCTCCTGCTGCCTTCATTCATGTGCTTTAAGAGTGAAATGAGCTGAACACATTCCTGGTCACGCACAGAGCTGCAGTCTGTCCAGCAGCCCTCTCACATCAGCAGCAACACAATGGAGCAGGGCTACAGGCCACACGCTGGCCAGAGAGAACCACAGATTGGCTGGTGCTGGTCGGGCAGGCCTAGCAGAGTGCCAAACGGAGCTGCGTGTAAGCCGATAAGGGCTACAGGATTGTCTGAGTTACAGAATAGTACAGAGGTCCACAGGGCTGCAGAGTAATCAAATAAGGCAAACAGACCGGCCTTAAATGGTTTCATAAAGACAATGTAGGTCTGCTGGTTTGACAAATAGAGCTGGATGCTGGCCAGAGAGCAGCAGAGTGAGGACAAGTGGCTACAAGCTAGCCAGAGCTAGCAGCTATGAAAATCAGCTCTTCATTTCTACAGGTTGAGATTATTATTATTATTATTATTATTGGTGATGTTCCTTATTATTTTATCAGTTAATATTATAGTAATAATATTGTTTTCTTCCTCTCAGTTTATTAGTTAGGCTTTATGTTGCTAAACTGAATGTAGCCTAATACAGCTTCCAGTAATCATAATGTTCAGTTTTCAATTGATAAAAAACGGGGTGGACAAAATATTAGAAACACTTCTCAATATAATAAATTACATTTCAACAGCAGTCGTTATTTTTGTTTGTTATTTCATCCCTTTCTTCAAACTATAATTTATTATTATTTATTAACTAATATAATTTTTCATGATATTAATATGCTATATATATATATAGCATATATCAGCTCTGCAGCGTTATCTACAGGTCAATAATATACAATCATAATAATTAGACACTATAGTGTATACACGTTGCCTATGAAAATGGACTCAAGACTATTTTTGTTGATACCTAATTAAATAACACTTTTTAAATATTTCTTTCAGACATTAGATGGCTTCATTTTTGTGGTTGCTCCAGATGGGAAAATAATGTACATATCAGAAACAGCATCAGTCCACTTGGGCCTGTCGCAGGTTGGTTTGACAAGTTTAATGTGATCTCCTCTGTTGTGTTGGGCCTGATGTGTCGCAGTCCTGAGGTGTACGTTCATTTCAACAGGTAGAGTTGACGGGAAACAGCATTTATGAATACATCCATCCAGCAGACCACGATGAAATGACAGCTGTCCTCACAGCACACCAGCCTTACCATTCACACTTTGTTCACGGTAATCAACAACCCAGGTGTGTTGTACTGTATATGGCCTGGACTCATCGTTCCTCATAAATAACTTGCTTTTTGCATGTTTTTTAATTCTCTGCAGAATGAGATGGAACGCTCCTTCTTTCTGAGAATGAAATGTGTCCTCGCTAAAAGAAACGCTGGACTCACCTGCGGAGGCTACAAGGTAGTAGTAAATCAATCAATCAAAAAAATCAAACAATTACTCCTAAAATAGTACATTCTTTGTAAATTCATTTTCTTCATGTGTGATTAATGCTTTGACGTACTGTAGGTCGACAGGGAATCTGAATCAATGTTTGCATTGTATTTAAGGCTAACAAGACTAAAAGGCTGAAGCTCTGCTAGTGGCTGCTGCAGCGGTACGAACAACATGACAATTTTGCTATATAATGTTGAGGGTGGTGGAAAAGGAAAAGCCGTGGGATCATCACAATCCTACAGGTTCATCCTCAGCGAGAATGAATCTGCGCAGCAAATTTAATGGCTAGAAAAACAATTTGTGTCCACAGAGTGTCCATAATTGAGAGGGATCATCCTCTATGGATAATAAATGTGAAAAGTGAATTTCATAGCAACAAGCTTGTTGAATATGGTCATTTATACCATAAAAGTGGAATTTATGGCCTAATTGTGGCACTAGATGAAAGGTCAGGGGGTCTGCCGTAAAACCTTCAATTAATATCCGAGTCCCAAACAGCCGCCTACCTCCTTTACTGGTCCATTAAACGCCTGGTCTGGTTTTTACAGAAGTTCTTTGGATGTATAAACCCTCTTAAACCCCGTGGGTTCACACGCATTAGCTGCTTCTGCTCGGATCGTTGATACAAATATTAATGTTTATCGAACTGTCAGTATGAACATAATTCGTTGAGTTCATTTAACAGAAAAAATGAGCACCAAAGTCTTGGTCTTATAGATATACCGGTGTAACCTGCATGGTACCTTTAAAGCTCGTTAAGTCTGAATGTGTTCCTTGATTATTTATGTTCCTTTAGTCTGTAAGGGTCCAACCACCAAAAGAATCAAAACAGCTTTTCTTTATCCAAGTTGTGAATCCTGTCATGTGAAGTCCATCGCTAACTTCTGCCACACTTCTTTCATCCTGCACTCCTTCTTTCATCCTTAGCACTGTGTAGCATCTTAGCCTACCTATCATCATCTTGTTCTACTGACATCTTTAAAATACCGATGTATTGCTTTTTCACTGTCTTCTGACAGATGTACTTATTTTAAGTCACTTTGGACAAAAGAGTCTGCAAAATGCCCTAAATGTGAATGTGAACCATCTCAAATCAAGGTCCGCTTACTTGCATGATCTGGAATCTTTGGCTGTATCTCATGATCCACAGAGTTTGCCGAGTTGTCGTGGAACTGTAAACTTTCCATTTATTTTGGCACTTTTAGGAATTCACGTCCATGTTGGTTTAAAAGTTGAGCTGTTTGTCTGCTGATAAAGACTGTGTGTGATACGGTTGAACGCTCCGTGAAGAGCAAGTAAGGGGTCCTTGAGTTGAGATTGTTTTGTCAGCTGTAGCAGATATTATCAGCTGTAGCCATGTCCCATTCCCAAATATTTCCATTTCCCATTTTCCTAAAGAACCAACAATACCTACACACTTAGTTTGTTCCCAATTCCTCTTTTGACTCTATGGGCATGCCAACGTTTCAATCCCAAACGGTCCTCTCCAGGGCCAATTTACACCTCGATGCCTGGGAAGATTCGCAGGAAAGGGCAAAAGAACCTCTAAACCGGACGAAAGGGTTACTGGAACATGTAGCGATTGTATAGATTGAAATTCATACTTCCATCTGTGACCTTGTGACCCAGGTGATACACTGTAGCGGGTACCTGAAGATCCGTCAGTACAGCCTGGACGTATCTCCGTTTGACGGCTGCTATCAGAACGTGGGGCTGGTTGCCGTCGGCCACTCGTTGCCGCCCAGCGCTGTCACTGAGATCAAACTGCACAGCAACATGTTCATGTTCAGAGCCAGCCTGGACATGAAGCTCATCTTCCTCGACTCACGGTACGTTATGTAGCGTATGTCTTCTCTGCACGCCTTTGTATGCATGTAGCCTACAGTATGGAATTGTGTGGGTGTGAGTTTTTCCGCATACTTGCTTGTTACATATTTTGTGTGTGGGCGTGTACGTGAGTGTGTGTATGTGTAAATGTGGGAAGGCTTTAATAAACCCTGAGAATGTGTGTGTGTGTGTGTGTGTGTGTGTGTTGCTTAGGGTTGCAGAGCTGACAGGCTACGAGCCTCAGGATCTGATAGAGAAGACTCTCTATCACCATGTCCACAGCTGTGACTCCTTCCACCTGCGATGTGCTCATCACTTGTGTGAGTTAGGTTTGTTTTACCTTCCTACAAATTCCCTCTGCACACTCTCACACAGAAATACACACACACACACAACACACACCACACACACACACACCACACACACCACACCACACACACACACACACACACACACACACACAGTGTTCCAGTACATACCGCAGATGTATAATGAGAACTGGATACAGCTTCGGAGGCGGTATACTGTTTACACACACAAGGCGTGCTGACTTTGCTGCTACTAATTCCATCACATCACTGTCACTTATGCCTCGTAATTTTATCTTTGCTCTTGTATAGTTTCTATTTTATTTCTATTCTGTAGTTTTATATGCCTTTCATTTTTTACCTCGTGTATTTCTCTGTTTCTTGTTTCTGTCCTTCTGCTGCTGCAGAAAAACAAATTTCCCCCGTTTTTCTATTTCAATATGTTCATGTACTTTAGTATACTCTGCAATTTGTTTGGATTTTCTTCGCCATAGTAATCAGTTGCTGTTTATTTCCCATCTCTTGGTCTTATAGTGCTGGTGAAAGGTCAAGTGACGACTAAGTACTACCGTTTCTTGGCCAAGCATGGTGGCTGGGTCTGGGTTCAGAGTTATGCAACCATCGTACACAACAGCCGCTCATCCCGACCTCACTGCATCGTCAGTGTCAACTATGTTCTCACGTGAGTATTTGTCTCTATTCCCAGATTTACCTTTATGATATCAATATGCTGATAAATCTTACTTGAGACACACAGTGTTGTTGTGTTTAGGTCTTGGTGCTGAGTGGTCATTGTTGTTTTAGCACAAGTAGCTGTAAAGTGAGTATGAGTTGTTGACACACACAGCTGCTTAAAGTAGCTCTGGTGCTTTAAGTTGTGTTCACATAGTGCTTAAAGTAGATATTTTCTTTTTGCACACTGTGCAAACTGTCTACATTTTTTGAACCTGCACAGAAAATGTATTTTCAGTCTGAAGGTAACGTAGATGATAGCTGTCAGCAGTCCCTGTGACGTTACTCTATATGCACACACACACACTGCAGTTTTAATGTCATGTCTCCACGTGTCTCCGCCCGAGTATCTTGTAGTGAATTTAACGGTCCATCCATGGGAGGGACAGACTGAAAACAGACTCTGACCTGTTGACCCGAGCTCTCAGTTTGTGTTTGTAGAAGAGGCATCGTCTCTGGTGACAACAGGTCCTGCTGGGTAGCTAATGCTAGGGAGCAGTTGTCTGCAGATTTCAGGCTGAGGTCGTCTCAGACAGGAGGAGATGAACTGGTCTGCGGACGTTTCTGCTCTCTCTCTATCTCTGCTAACGCTTATAATTAGTTTTAAATCATTCAAATAAGTATTTATTTGAATCATCTGACAATTGCAGTCCATGGCTGTGTGAGGTAACCTGGAGTTTTTGAATGTACAGACAGCTTGCAGGTGGTGCAGCTCTTTATTATTTATGCTCATCTATCTTGGTATTTTTATGGGATTTGATGAGAAGAAGAAAACTATAGAATAACACCAGCCTTAACTTTAACACTCAGTGTTCATGGCTGTACAGTGAAGGCAATCTGTTTCATCAGATGGAAAAACACGTCTGACACAGTGTAGACAACAGGGTGTGACCCTATATTTCAAAATAAATTAAAGATCCTAAGTGTGTCAGAGGATGGATGCCAGATTACTGATGTAAAGCTCACTACTGATCATCCAGCCGTTCTGACCTTCCTGTAATGCAAAGCTTGTAAAGAGTGTTCCTCTTTTAAAATCCATACTGGAAACAAATGTAAAACCCTGTCACACTAACTCACCATATGTTGAATAAGTAGTTATTGATACAGAATAGCAAAACAGACAGCTATTTATGAAAATGTTTACTACTTCACACATTTGTAGTGGTATAAATGGGCTGGAGGACACCTGACCGTTGTCAGTCATGTGGGTTTGGTGTGAAATGACAGGAGTGTACGGCAGCTCCAGGGCAGACAGGGGTGGCCCAGATCTCTGTTGTGCTATCGTTCTCTGCTTTGATAAGATAATGAGTGTTGGTACTAGAGATTTACGCAAACAGTTGCTGTGAAGCAATTACTGGAGGTTAATTGGAATTGTGACATGTGTTTGTTGAAACCTGGTTTGCACAATCTGACAATGAATAAAGTTTGTCATGTCGCGTTCTGTATATTTCATATTTTTTAGTCTTTGTTGTAGGCTGAGCTGGAAACAAAGGCACTGATTTCTTTTAGGAAAACCAGAACTTTCCTGCTCTTTCTACCTTTGATGGCCGTAGACGTTTCCTGGTCTCTCACTGTATCTGCTGTCTTGTATGCCAGTTGTGTCAGACTGTCTGAGCCCTTTGTTTCTAAGTTGTCGAGTGTGCTCATGTGTTGGCTGTTACCTGTGGCGGCCTCTCTGTGGCGGCGTCACTCACCTGG